ACATTAAAAAATAATAACAATAAAAAACAAAAGATATTTTCTGCCAGGTTTTTCTAACCCTACTTTTGCCTGTTTCATAGTGATTCTCCTTGGTTCATTTTTTTAAAATGTTTTTTATTTTTGAGAGAGAGAGTGCACAAGTTGGGGAAGGGCAGATAGAGAGGGGGACACAGAACTGAAGCAGGCTCTAGGCTCTGAGCAGTCAGCACATAGCCTGATGCGGGGCTTGAACCCACCAACTGCGAGATCATGACCTGAGCTGAAGTCTGACGCTGAACCAACTGAGCCACACAGGTGCCCCGATTCACCTTGTTTCAGACACACATCTATGCTGTTAACTAAGTTTTCTAAGCAGTGTACACACAAATTCTGCTTTTCAGGCAGAAATTGTAAATGTAAGAAAAACCAAAATATCAGGTATAATCAGTTTTTTTGATATAAATTGTTTTTTTTTTTAATTTTTTTTTTAATGTTTTATTTATTTCTAGGAGAGAGAGAGAGACAGCGTGAGCAGGGGAGGGTCAGAGAGACAGGGAGTCACAGACTGAAACAGGCTCCAGGCTCTGAGCTGGCAGTCAGCACAGAGCCCGATGCGGGGCTCGAACCCACGAACCGCGAGATCATGACCTAAGCGAAAGTCGGACGCTTAACCGACTAAGCCACCCAGGCGTCCCTAATATAAGTTGGTTTTAAAGTTGATTATAAATATCAAACAACTGATAAGAACATAAACTCTAAAACTACTTATTCTAAATGACCTTAGTAAAAGATAAGCATGGATAAAAAGAAGGGGGGGGGAAGATTTTTAAAAATTTTTTAAAAGGAGGAAAAGTAAAAACAGACAACAAAGTTCATACACACTAGAAACCATAATAAAGTTTTCAGTCACAAAGTGGGCAATAACAACATGAATTCTCATTGCCTCCTACGCTGTGCTCAGGACAACGAAACCATCCATTTCTCTTATTCAAAGTATTTATTAATCAAGTACCTATATTTTCCAAATATCTTCAGTACTGGCAGAACAGAGAAATGTTACTGTAATCAAAAACTCAATCTAAACAAGTCACAGATTGAGCATACATTGACATCTAATCTTTTTGATCTTAAGCCAGAGTAAAAGCTTTACATCCTGTTCCTAATCTAAAACACTCACGTTCTCTAATTTGTTTGAAAATAGTTCTGGAAAATTGCCAGATACCTATTCTCTCACTGGTCCAAGTACTGCATATAGCATGCACTTTCAATAAATGTTACCTTCTTGATGAGGCCTGCCGTGAGCGCCTGTTTAAAATTACAGCTTCGGTCATCTGCCTGTCCTCAGCCTATTTTCCCTACTTTTTTGGTGTTTTGTTTAGTCTGCCTTTTTGCCCCAACAGAATTCTCACTGAAGGGCTTGAAGATTCGCGTGGGATTCAGTCTGTTTTGTCCCAATGTACTCCAAGCTCTATCTGAATATCTGGCATAACCAGACCCTCAAATATTATCTCAGTATGAAATGCATGAATAAATGAGAAAAGTAAATGCTTTCTCATATAACCAAGAACAAAAGACAAAGCAGGCGCACTACAGAGAAAAAAATTAAGTTTTCAAGTACCATTTTCAAATGCTAAATATTTTTCTAAATTAAAAAAAATATTTTAAACAAAAAAATAAGAAGAAATTATGTATTTTAATTTTTTAAATTAAGATTTCCTATTAGGCGCCGTGAGTGGCTCAGTCAGTTAAGCGTCCAACTCTTGGTTTCAGCTTAGGTCAGGATCTCATGGCTTGTAAGTTCAAGCCGCACATTGGGCTCCGTGGTGACAGTGTGGAGCCTGGTTGGGATACTCTCTCTCTCTTGCCCCACCCCCACCCCCCAATGCACTCTTTCTGTCTCTCTCTCAAAAATAAATAAACTTAAAAAAAAAATGATTTTCTATTAAACTCATTAAGTTTTTGAATGATGACTGCTCAAAACTCACAATGGTATTATCATTTACTTCTTTAAAAAAGAGACACAAGAAATACAAATCAAGATGTAGCTGCATTCTGAACAGAAGGCACCAAACAGTCCAAGGGCCACAGAATTAACAACTTATTCCTTAAAGCCAGTCTCTAGATCAGCGCTGTCTGATACAAACCAATCTGATCTATATATGTGGTGTTAACTTTTCCAGAAGCCACATGAAAAAGTAAAATGAAACACATGAAATTAGTTTTATATTATATTTTATGTACTCCAGTATGTCCATGATACTATCATTTCCAACAGGTAATCAGTTTTTAAAGTTTAAATATTTTACATTATTTTTCTCATATTCAAAATCTGAAGTGCATTTTTCCCTTTTAACACAGGTCAATTTTAAGTGTTCGATTGACAAATGTAGCTAGTAGCTACTGCACTGGACAATGGATTTCTAGATTCTGTAAGGTACTAATAAAATATAGTGGCATAGTTTATTTGCTTTCAAATATTAATATTAGAAGAAATGCAGAGCAAAGGATAGCATCTTCTGTTTCTAAACATCAAAGCGCGCTTACGGTACTCACAGAATTCTTAAGTTCTTTTAACATAAGCTTTATATTTTAACAAGGTTTTTAGCTCTAACTTTTATTACAAAATGTTTCGAATTCCACTGAATCTGAAAAGACTCAAGATGAATTCCCCTGGGGGCGCCTGAGTGGCTCAGTCGGTTATGCTTCCGACTTAAGCTCAGGTCATGATCTCACAGTTCGTGGGTTCGAGCCCCGTGTTGGGCTCTGTGCTGACAGCCAGCTCAGAGTCTGGAGCCTGCCTCAGATTCTGTATCTCCCTCTCTTTCTGACCCTCCCCTGCTCATGCTGTCTCTCTCTCTCTCTCAGAAATAAATAAAACATTAAAAAAAATTTTAAATAAAAATTTTTTAAAAAGATGAATTCCTCTGAAGTATAAATTATATATGTCATGCGTGCTTACTTTGTTTGGCACAGCAATAAAAATACTTCACACATTTGAGCATTTAATACCTGATGATGAGGTTAAAAAGATTAAAATAACTTGTAATTTGAGGAACTATTATGCAATCAGATACATTTAAATAGGCTGTCAAATACCTGCATAAGCTTATTTAATACCTCTCTGTCTATATATTATACACAACTTTAACAGATCATGTTTGATGATACTTTTAATGATTTAAAAAAATGTGAGTTTTTACTATTCTTTTCAGATTTAAATGGTTCTCTAATTGTGATGTAATAAGAAATATATCTGGCTTTGTCCTTGGCTCCTGGCACAGAAATTTCCTGAGTGATAGGAGAGTATTTTGCCCCTTCTGATCACACCTGAGTCCAAGTCCATGACTTGGAATGGGCCTCTAGATCACCTCAGTCTGGGGCTGGTCAACACATGGACCAGGTGATTAGAGGGCTGGAACTTTCAGTAGCACAGACCAGACCACTGAGGAAACTGAGGTCTGTAGAAAGAAAACTCTTTTCCATGCCCTTCTCTTAGCTTCTGATGTCACCAGCAATTCTTGTCAATCCCTGACTTGCAGCTCTGTAACTCCAATTTCTGCCTCCATTGTCACACGGTCATCTTCTCCCCAGTGTCAGTGTCACACATGGTGCTCTCCTCTCTTACATGGATACCAGTCATTGGATTAAGGCCCCACACAACTCCAATATATCCTTAGCATAACCAATTACATCTGAAAAATGACTCTACTTACAAATAAGGTCACACTCTGAAGAACCAGAAGTTAGGACTTCAAAATATGTCTTTTGTTTTTTTTTGGGGGGTGCACATTTCACCCCATAACTTGGGCTTTTACAAAAAAAGTCTGCCAACACCTGAGAAGAATTAGGTAGGTCCAGTAGTGCCACTGCACAGTGAGGGATTTCAAAGAGGAGAACTGGGATTTGGTTTTAGACAAACTAACTTGAAAGCAAAAGTAAGAACCCTCAAAAGATGTCAGGCAGAAAGCAATACATTATAGGTCAGGAATCTGGATTGGCTTGGAGATGGAGGAATCAAGTACAGCCTAAAAAAGGATGCGCATTTGCAAGATAAATGTTTTATACAGCAGATCAAGAATGAATCTTTAGAGAATGTTACTATTAGATAACAATGTGATTAGAGAATGTCATTGTTACATAACATTAGATGATAATGTAATTCAGTATCATATGAACTCAAAGAGAAGCATCTCAACCACGACAAATGTTAACAAAGAAAGAGGCCTGAAAAATGACCAGGAGATCTGGCTAGAATAAGACTATAGCCAAATAAAGAAACAATTCCTATGTAGAAACTAAGAGGGACCCTGGAGGTACGTCAGGGGGAAGATGCTTAAGAAATACAACATGATTTACTTGTACAGTGGGTACGGTAGATCATTATACTGGTGACCCCCAATAAACCACATCTCCTGGCATTCATGCCCTTGTATAATCTCTCCTACACAGACTGTGGGCTTAGCCAAATAACTTGCTTTAAGCTAATTTGATATTACCAGGCACTGGCAAGCAGAGTCATGGTAAGCACTGTCATACGGCAACTTGGCTGTCTCGGATCACTGCCACCCAGAAGCCAGCTGCCATGCTGTAAGGAAGCCTGAGTTAGATTCTGAATGATGAGCGACCACATGGAGAGAGACTGTGAAGGCTATGAGGTCATCATTCCAGCAACAGCAGAGCCCCCAACTGAATGCAACCATCACAGTGACCTCAACCCATACAAAGTGAACAGCAAAATACCCAGCTGAGCGCAATCAACCCAGAGAATCAGGACAAACTGTTGTGACCTTAAGCCACTAAGTTTTGTGGTGGTTTGTAAAGTCAAAACAGGATTTATGTTTAAGAAATGCAAGAACATGAAGATTCTTATTAAATCAGGAAGACTTGTATATGCGTGGTGAGAAAAAAATAAGGAAAACCATGTAAATTAAAATGCAAAGAGAAAAACTAAAGACGTTAAAGACAGAGCTGAGGAATGATGGGAAAATTGAAGAGAACACTAAGGAAAGTTTTCCACCTACTTCATCACTCTCATCTACTTCAATTCCACCATCTTTGTCATCATCCATTTGTTTATGGATTGTCTGAAGAGCTTCCAGGCTGAATCTATCTTCTTCTGTAAAGCATGGCGGACTCAGTGACAGGCAGGGATCTGAAACAGAACAATGAGCAATGACTGACTTGCCATGCCAAAACACAGACGATAGGCAAGAGAATATAATTTACAAGAAAAACAACAAATTAAATATCAGACTAAGTCAAACCAATAGGTTTTAAAAAGTCTAGCAGAGTCATCAAAAGTATAATACAGGAATACAACTGACTAAAAATAAGTACCTCAATTTAATGGATATGAGCCAACGACAACCAGGAATAACTCTAGTCCTGACTTCAAGTTGTCTATATTCTTCCACATCTTTAACCGTTTTTTCCTTATCCAACCTACTATATTTACTAATTACTTCCCCCCCAAAAACAGAGCTCCTTCTTTAAAAAAAAAAAACTAAACTAAAAGAGAACCTAAAAATCACAGAATACAAGGTGCTATTTTCAAATAATCCAGTTCAATTAAAATGTGAACCCAAGGAAAATATCAGAGAATACAAGAAAAGGATATTCAGAATAGGCACATGATAATTCGAACCTTTTTTTTTCACTTCTCTATTTAAGAATCAAAGACTTCACCCATTTGAATACCTTTCAAAATATATAACTTCTTAAATTTAACAAGGAAAAAAACCCACAATTTTCAAAAATCTTTTTTTTTTAATTTTTTAATGTTTTTTATTTATTTCTGAGAGAGAGAGAGACAGTGTGAACGGGGGGGGTCAGAGAGAGAGGGAGATACAGAATCTGAAGCAGGCTCCAGGCTCTAAGCTAGCTGTCAGCACAGAGCCCGACACGGGGCTCGAACCCACAAACCGAGAGATCATGATCTGAGCTGACATCGGACGCTCAACCGACTGAGCCACCCAGGCACCTCTAAAAATCTTATTCCTCATATTTTCTTTAATATACATTGATTGGTTAAACCACTTCCTATGGAAAATGTGTAAACTTCCACATTCAGATTGTCTAAAATTAACAATTTAGAGACAATATGGGGTCTTTCATAGCTTAAAATCAGATCAATAAAAGTTATGTTGACTCAAATAGTAAACAGCCTATACACCGAAATGAAAAAGTACTTCCAAAACTTCATTTACACTCAATCTGGTTGACCAGTGGATTGACAAAAGCTATTTTACCAGATCACTAAAATACTCTCATCAGATCCACATGTATTTATAGAAATAGAAATGGCCTTAAAGTTTAAAGTGGTTACTAGCTGGGAGCACAGGTTGCTGTCAGTTAAGCTTCTGACTTCACCTCAGGTCATGATCTCAATGGTTCATGGGTTCCAGCCCCACATGGGGCTCTGTGCTGATGGCCTAGAGCCTGCTTCAGATTCTGTCTCCCCTCCCACTGCCCTCCCCCACACATGCTCTGTCTTTCAAAAATAAATAAAATGTTTAAACATTTTTTTCAAATAAATAAACATTAATTTTTTTAAAATAAAGTGACTGGCATAATAGAAGGGGTAGCCAGTTTGGTTTTCTCAACAATAGCCAAAGCTCTAGTTTACCATTATGGCTCTGTTACAAATTAACTGTCTGATTTTGGACAAATCACTTGTCTTTGTGGCTTAGTTACCACATCTCCAAAATACAGTAGTCCAGATGCTTACTTAAGATCTACCGCACCTATAATGGCCTAAGAAATAATCTCATTCTGTGCTTAGGAAAAAACATTGCACGAAGTCATTACTGGAAATCAATTAATAAACTTTTCTGGTAAAATAATGCAAATCTATATTACCTACATGTTCCAGTTATAACTTATTTTGGCGAGTCAACAGTTTTAATAGTTTTAACTCAAAAGCTGATCTTAATTTAGTCCTGGAAAAAAAAGAAACAAAAGGAAACTATAAAAGGGGAAAATGGAATCATAAATTGTGTGACATATGTGTGTATACATATTTAAAATCTCTGATCAAGATCTGCTAAAATCTAAAAACTTACAGGAACACTGGTCCGTTAAGATCCCTAATTCATGAAACTACCAGAGCCCTGATATGCCTACAAGTTCAAACTCATTTGTAGTTATTCTGAATGGATATGAAACAAAAGCTCCCAGATACTATACATAGAGAATAAAGATCTGAATGTGTTATTGCCTCCAGCACACGTGTTTTCTTTTTACATATATTTTATTTTGCTAATAAATATATGAAGTTATTGCAAATAGTATAGAAGGGCTGGCATCACTCACTGACTAAATAGGCTTTGTTGTCAACCCTGTCAAACTCTAATAAAAGAAGTGAATAATGAGGTCTCTAAAAACCTGTAAAGCTTTAAAAGAAAATTGGGAGAAACATATAATCTGACAAAATGTCATATAAATAAGAAAATTGATTTTTTTTTTACTTAAATTAACTTATTTAATGAAATCCTATCTGTCAAGGTCTGTTGCAGGATGTAACTTCTTCAGGAAGTCTTTCATAAAGTATCTATACTATCTTCTAGTGATTACTTCCTTCTCTGAACACCATTCCAACCATTCAACAAGTATCTATTAAGCATCTACCATGTGTCAGGCATGGGAAATACCATAGAGAAAAGAGAGATAAAAATTTCTCATGAGGGGGGCCTGGGTGGCATGAAGCCTGCTAAAGATTCTCTCACTCCCCCTCCCTGTGCCCCTCCCCAGTGCACACTCACACTTTCTCGCATTCTCTCTCTCTCAAAAAAAAAAAAAAAAATCATGAAACTACAGCATAGTGGAGGAGATGTGTATAACAACATAAAGAAGTAAAAGGTAGAGCACGCTAGCAATGGTTAAGAATTAAGGAGAAAAATAAAAAGCAGATAAGAAAGGCTAAGGAATTTGAAATCTGAGTATTTGATTCTCATATCACTCAACCTAAGTCCTCATTAATGTTGTACTTTATTAAGTATCTAACTGCTTCATGGATCCTTTTGCCTATACAATTGAGCTTGTGACCAAGGCAGGAAAACATCTTCCATTTCTCACATTCATAATACTTAGTTGGGCTTAGTTGGGCAATTCTGTGTTTCTACTAAATTCTGTTACTTCATACGTTAACTAAATCACAAACTTCTAGGCTTCTACACTGTGCAAACAGTGACAGGCATGAGGAAACATAGAGATAATAAGAGTATCCTGTACTCAAAACATCTTACAGTCTAGTGATCAAGGAGGCATGTGGTCCACTACAATATACCAGGTTTGGGACCACTGAAAACACTAGGTGTGGAGTGCTATGACAGCCAGGGAGGAAAAGCCCCAATCCAGACTGGGAGAGAAAAAGGCATATGTTTTCTAGAGGTAACCTTGGGGAGTTTAGATGACCTACACCTGATGACCTCGGGATGGAGGGAAAATCATGCCTGGAAAAAGAAACATCATATATTCAGTGACATGAAAAAAACGTTGAACATTCAGAGAAATGCCACTGGTTAATGCGTCTGGAGTACAGAGAATATATGGAAAAAAGAAAAGAGATTAGGTAAGAGGCTATTAAGAAGGGGCCATATCTCTAAGACCAAGAGTTGTTTTCCACACTAAAGAATTTGGATTTTTATCCTGAAAACTATGAGAAGCCCATAAAGGATTCTCAGGGGGAAGCCTAACAATCAGATTCATTACAGAAAGATCATTCTGGTGATAGTGGAAAATAGAATGGAGGCAAGACTGGGAAGCACAGCTGTCAGGAAGTGCTACTGAAATCCTAGCAGCTGGCAATACCACAGGCCTCCAAAGAATGGAGGAGGTAAATGACAAAGACTGCTCTAGGATTTGGTGTTTTGCCAAGTTAGAAAAGCAGAAGAGAAGGAAAGGAAAGACAGGAGTTGAAGATATGGCAAGAGTAATCCATCTCCCCACATAAAATTTTATTTCCTTTGGGTCCAGTGACTTAAGGACTAGAAATCTAACTCAGAACAGTTGTGAATTCTGAGCCCCATTACCTGCTCTAAAGTCTTTTTCATTTTTTTCTCAACTGTTTCCCTTCTAGGTTAACTCAGCAGAAGTGATCATTTTAACCCAAACTGGCTGGCCAGTTTGGGTTAAATTTCTTTTCCAAATATACAAACTGTTACAAAAGATCTATGCATATAATAAACTAGGTAGAATGGTTTCAAAGACAATTGCTAAAATGCCAAAATGGCTCTCCTTTGCCTCACGGACCTCACCTTAGCCACGCAAAATGCACCAGCACACTCCTGCATTCCATAGCCAGAAACGTGTTTCTCAGATATCTAAGCTGAATTCACTTGTTTACTGAGACATGATATGGAGTGCCTGTAATGAGTGAGGCCTCGTGCTTGGTGCTGGACACCCACGGGACAGCTAAGACAGATTTCCTCTGCTCCATGCCCTCACTTTGTGTTAAATGCAATATGGTGTGATAAATCTTTTTAGCATTATACACTGAGCATTCCTTTCTTTTCTCTGGATCAAGAATAGCACTTTCTGCTGAAGAGAAAGATATCAACTGAAACAAAATAAAACTTAACCAAAGTGAGCAACAAACAAACATCACTGTTAAATTCCAACTTGTTTTCCTCTACTCAAAGCCAAACAAATGCTCGGTATGATTCTGCAGAAACAAAGTCTAATAATTAAAATTATTTCACCTAATAAGAAATATCTACTACATTCCAAAAACCAATACTATTTTATATACATAATCTTTACAACCCTGTGGGGGACATAAAATATTATCTGCATTTTTCAGGTGAGGAAATGGGATGCATGAGTAACTTGCTCAAGATTACCTCCCTAAGAAATAGCAGAGCTAGGATTCGAACAAGTCTTCAAGATTCCAATCCATGTTCCAGCGTCAGTATAATGAACATAAATGGACCACAGTGTCACCAACATCAGAGAATAAAGTATTGCTACCACTGATATTACCAGGACCCAAGGAGCTGATAACACCAAGAAACATAAATGTGTCCCATAGAAGCGACACTCCGTGAATGATGTTAATAATCTAGAATATATACCTATACTTCCTACATTACCATTCCTTTTCATAACATCTTCACTTTGACTCACATTCCCCTTGAACAAACCTCATAGTAACTG